TCTTGGCTTCTAATGTTTAGACACAGAACAAAATTTCACTCCACATCAATGTTCTCAAACTTCTCACTGTTCCTTGAGCATGATCCCAGTTCCTACCTATTCTGATGGATCATTTGGTCGTGATCCACTCCAACAATTCCATGGTCATTTCTAATATCAACCATCTAGGTACAACTGTTCTGGGACTCTTTGATTTCTGGGTTTGGACCTCTTCTTCTGGGCTCATTCCCATAACATTTGTCTTTGTCATGTGCAGGGAGCTATGAACCTTGTCATGGAGTGGTCCCTCCAAACCTAGGTATTTCATTAGATTTGCTTTCAGTTGAGCACCCCTTCATGGACACCTTTGCCACCCCCTTTCCAGGCTTCCTATCTTCTGGTCCTCTATTCCTCATTCTTTGGCTCTTGCTGTTGATGCTATCAGCCAGGCCTAGACTCATCTTTTTCTGTATGCCTATATTCCTCTTCAATTCCTCCTTGATACATGACACCCCTTTTCATGTCTTGGGTTCCTCTGCTTCTTTGCTTAGCATCCAGGCCCACCTTCTTCTTCTCAATGTTCCCTCTGTATTGCTCCAACCTCATGTTCCTCCATCTTCATGTGTAGGATCTGTCCAGTCCATCACCTGTTGGGCCAGACTTTCTAATTGTGTAGCCTTCTTCTTTTGTCCTGTTGCATTTCCACCTTGTATACCATTAACAGTGGTGGGTTTTTCATCATTGTTCCATCCACTGCTCCTTTACTGTTTACCACCTTTCTACCGTTTTTTACTTGGCTGTTTGACCATGATTTGTTAATCTCCACCATTGCTTGTTATCAAGTGGCATTGTCCACTACATTTTGCCTTTCCCTGTGCTATAGGGTATTTCATTCCCCTGTCTTCTCCATTCTGTTCTGCTCTTTCCTTCTTTGCCAACAACCTTGTTTCACTACTGTGCATGACTGGGACCTTGGTGTAGATTTGAAGCTTGAGCACACATGCACTGTTTGAACCATTGGCTTCTTCCTCTTTGTAACACCTTTCTCTCAAGGCTTATTTCTCTCTTCTTTCTCACCTGTGTTTGCCATCATTTGAGTGTCTATGCTATTGATGCTTCACATTCCCTTGTCCACTACACTTATATACTTCTCTACCCAGGCTAGTCTTTTTCTTCTATCTACCTTCCTTCTGTCTCTCACCTTTGTGATCATTCAGACCTTGATTGGCACCTATGTCCTGTTCAAGCTGTTTGGTGTTATTTATTATGGCCTTCTCATTTTCAGAGTCTCCACCATAATCTGTTCCTACCCTGGGACCTCTTTTCTTCCATTGACTTCTCTCCTACCCTTACTGGGTGGGTCTGTCATTGTCTCTGGTTGGTGTATTCCTCCATGGATGTGGATGCTTGCAGGCTATTTCACATTTCTTCATTTCAGATTCATTACCTGTCTCACTCTCATAAGTTCCTCCAGGCAGACATGTGGACAGCTCCCCACATGTTCATAGCTCATTATCTTTATCATCTGGCTGTTTTGTCTCCCACAGGATTTTGACTTCCCTGAGTTGCTATTCTTCAATCAACCCACTGTATTTGAGATGGGTAAATAGGTTGGCATATTATTTTTCCATTACTCAGGATCCTGCCAGGTTGTTGGAGTTGCCTCCTATGGTATGCTTATTTTCCAAAATCCGCATTGGGCCAGGGGGTAATGAAAAGTGCTCAAACCTTCTACCCTGGCTCTATCAGTGCCCATTGTCAGATGGGGTGTTTTGCAAGACTGGTAGAGGTATCCTCATGGTGTACAAATTTATTCAATTGTCCAATCCAGACCATACCAATTCCACTGACTATCATGGAGAAAGCCAGCAGCAGGGAAGTAACTTCCTACTACTTTGGCTTGCACTTCCCACTTTTCAAAATAGGGTTTTGTGGTCACCCATTGCACTGTCTCCAGATTAAAATACCTTTCTGGCTGGTGGTCCATTGGAGATCTGGGCACTTCTCTGAGTTTCCCCAGTGCAAATTCTACCACCCCCTTCTTCAAGTAGAGCGCAGGAGACCTTTGCCCTGTACCAATTCTTAGCCACTGGAATAGGGTGATAAGTAAGGCAGTGATAACACTATCAGTGTAGTATGGGTCACCCTTCACACAAATAATGTGTCCTCTTTCTGCAGCCAGAGTCTGTCAAGGTAAGCACACACTTTACAGTCTGATCCCACTGTGACCATACTACACATATTGGCCTGCTGAACTCTTATGTGCAGGTGATTGGCTGGTCATGTTCACACTCTGACCTTCCCTGTGGCACTTAGGCTATTTTGCTTTTCCCTCCCTTTCTTCTCAGGCAGATTATGCCATGGTTGAAATGAGATGTAATCTCTCACATTTGTGCCCCTATGGAGCCCCAGCCATCAGGTGTCACACACCATAGGCTTCTCCTTCAGGTGATTTCTAAAGGGAGCTCATCTAGGTTTAAAATTTTGCACTGGTCCCTCCACCACTTCAACGTAAAATTCTTGCATTTTTGTGTAAAGAGGTGAGTTATTGTCTCAGAAGTTAACATTTTCCTAATCAGAAAATGTATTTCAATCGATACCTCTTCACACATTCACATCTGTCTTCACTTCTGGAGCACCCTTTTTATTGCCTAAGAATGAAGTTATCACAAGTGCAAGAGCATAGGGGTAGTTACTGCACATGGAGATTGTGTTGCCCTCCTGTTGGTAGAGGCTATTGTTGCATGATGACACCATCATGCACCAGTGCAGTTCATGTTCAGTACGTGAATTTAGGTGAGAGTTAGTTCAACACTAGTGCCATACAAGTCTCATAGATAGATGTGTGAGGGAAATAGCATTTCTGTGTGCTGAGGTATCTATCCGAAATATATTTTCAGGTTTAAAAAATGTTAACTTCAAGAAAGCAGGTGACACTATAATACCCCTGCCTCAAACCTCTGACTAGCACTATAACATCCCTACCCCAGCCCTTGACAATTGAAAACACACAGTTATTGTACAATAAATCACCTGTTTACCTTGATACCCATATTTGATCATCACTCTAAATTTGGATCTAACAGCTTTCATCATTCAATAAAGTGTGACTAGTCATCAAGATCTTTATATTTATGGACTTAACACTAAGTAAAATTGGGCTGCAAATTTTTGGGATGATGTGTGGCCTATATTTTCTAATCCTTTCAAAGTACACACATTCGTGGAAGGCAGACTGCACATTTAATGTCACTGAATGCAAAAAAATGACTATTAATTTATTTCAAAAAATATTTCCAAGACTTCTTCAAAATTTTAAAAGATCAGAATTTGACAAGCTCATAACATTTTCAGTTTGATTTAAATTTTTTAGATTTTGTATTGTTAAGTTCCTGATTCAGTGGAGTAGTCTTGTGCAAAGTATACACCTGGAAAAAAGTTAAGCACCCCCAAATATTTTTCAGGATTGCTTATTGAAAATAAGGTT